AATATTTCAAGAAACTGCACATTTAAACCCATCTCCAGGAATGATTCGAAATAGGAGTTGAAAAAATTAAAGTAATGAGATTTTGAAATGTACCGTAGAATTTAGCCGTGTCTTATCAGGCGATTCTATCTTCGTGATGGCCCGTATACCTGCGGATGATGGTGCTTGGTCCTTTTTTGGTGTGGCCTTTTGTCGTTTAGCTTTGCTAACTCTTTCAGACATTGTCTCGGCTCTTTCCGGATGACTTCTTTTCTGAGGAGGGGTAAAGTTAGTGTCAAACACTTCCTGAAAGATGCGATTCATTGAAAAACGGAACGATGAAATTTTTTAAGAACAACGACGACCACAAACATACAAACGTAAAATGAATCATTACAAAACCCGTTGAATCAAAACCCTCGTAATTATCACCATGAATGAATTAATTTCAAAGGAAATCACTTGTAAAAAAATTGTGATTCTAGTGTGGAGCTACAATTGTTCACCCCGCTATGGCTTACCCGGTTAAGAAATACACTATGAGTATGCTGAACGAGGGTTCGGATCCCCACCGAGACCTTCCATTTTGCATCGAGCCGAACAGTTGCAAAACGTCTTTTTCTACAGTATAACGGCTAAACGCTCACAATTGCACGATCGCTTAGCGATAATGATCACCCAGGAACGGAAAACTTTTTCAGACTAATTTTTCAAGTAAAAATCTGCAAAATTTTAATAATTTTTATGTTACGACGGATTTGATTTGGCCAGTCAAAATTCGGTAAAGTTCAGCCGAAGCAACAACTTAGCGTTTGTTCATGCTAAGAGCCGCTTTTTTGAATTGTGTGAATCGCTCGCGTCTGCTCGTTGAATTAAGGAGATATTGAGGTCAACCGAGGTTATTGTACCAGTTTCGATCGGTTCCGAATCGAAACACATATACACTGCATTTAGCCATTCTAACAATGACGCATACGGCTAATTCACTTCAAATTCTGTTGATTTTAGTGATATCAGCCAACTTCACGCTCTCAGGTTTTCAATTTTTTAACCGTTTTGTTCTCAAACTTCAATTGTGCAATTGTAACAAATGAGTACACCTCCTCACAATGAGATCACGCGTATGGGAGTGCAGATCAAACGATGATTTGATCACAATAAGACTAATCTGGAGGAGCGTATAAATTACAACTAGAGTTCAGAGTTCAAGGAAAATATCTGATGAGCGCATTGAAGTTAACTCGAATCAGTTAACAATATCAGCACTTGTTAGAAGGGAATCGAAGAGTCGCTATCAGTCCTTGGTGGAATTTTGTGGGATTTGCTTGAGAAAAAATCCAGATGGCAACAATTTTCAGCCAGTTATTTGGGTGGAATTCCAGTACCGGGTAGAACTGTGCCGACAGCCAGATTCTTCGAGTTGTACGCCTCATCATGCTTACCGAATGCATCGAAACACAGTTATCTACATCAACTTACCCAGGTACGTCTAGGCATTGCCTCAGGAGATCGTCATCTATCGTCCATGTCCGAATACATCAATTATACTTGTCTGGATTATACGTGATCATGGCGTTGTAGGATGCCGATGGCTAAGCAATTTGCTAGTTTCACCGATAAAATGACAGCAATTATGGGAGCAATCAGAACATTAACTAGTCATAGGGCTGTGTTATATCTATAACTAGATATTGTCCTTACTGCTAATCAAGTAATAAGTTAAAGCTTTATATTCAATGTCCGAAATGGATCACCTCTACCTTGTCGTAACGTTCTCATTTGTGATTGTCTCGTATCACAACTTTATGTAATCCTTATCAAATAAGCTGTTCGGTGATGAATGATTAGAAGTTTATTCATTCAGATGCTTCAAAAGATTGATGCTGAAGAACTCGCGAGGAAAGTCTACAATTCGTTGTATTTTGCAATTGGAGATGTGGAGGTGGAGAAAATGATGGGACGTTGGTATACGGTACATACATGAGCATTTGCTTTGGTTTTTGCAGAAAACAAAAACAGTTCACCAGATTGTTTAGTGAAGAAATGATCTAAAAATTGATCTTGAATTATCAATATATCATATTAATGTTGACATCGAAAAGCTCCAGTGAAATGTTCAGATTGCCCGAATCAAAACTGAAATTAAATGTACCTATTAAATTTCAGGTTATTGATTCACCAGCTATTCATCCTGAACAATGTGTTGTTAGCTATTGTAAGTTCGCGTATCTCGATCAGTAATTGATAAAATGAAGTGAAAATTGTTCGATGAAATGAAAGAATTTTGAAGATTCATAGGCAAAATGTTCTGACGAAGAGAAACTGATCAAGTATCGATGATTTTCAGCAGTGATCAAATCTTTTTGAAAATTCTTTTAGTGTCTTAACAAAATTCGGTGGAAACGTTGGATTTGATGTGAGAATTTTGAACTGAATCTTGATCTTTAGAATAATTGCAGTTGAGTCGCTAAACAATGATCCGTATACGTCTACCTTCTCGATCCGACAGTACGCACGTCAAGGAACTACTCAAAAAACGGAAATGTTAGAAGGTTACGGCACCAAAACCGGAACTGATCCCGGCGGAATCCTTCTCATCACAGGACATGATTCGGATCCATGCCCATGTCAGTTGTGTTCCTATTGTTCAAGTCAAACCTGTTTTGCATGAAAAGAGAGAATCGTCGTGAAACCCTAATGACTTTTCTTAAAAAATTAGGATGAAATTTTCACTGCAATATCACTTACAATTCAATATTGTGGTGTATTTGGATCTAAGACGATTTGGATCGGATTCTTACTGCCCTGAACAGATCAATTCTTAATGTCTTAAGTAAAACAACTTATCGCAAATTCACTGAAATTGCAAAATTCTGATCCTCGAATTGATCAATCGGATGCAACCTCTCAGAACGAGTAGCATTCTCCTATGATAAGATGATATCACTGAGATGTGTGATAAGATTTGTGGTGTTCTAAAACATCGATACATAACAAGAAAAATGTTTTAATGATAGAAGATATAAGATTAAATTAATGATTATCAAGTTATGTTTGCAAGTGATAGGTGTTACAAGCCAGTCCAGTGTCTTACTCAAGTTTGACAAGATCAACGACATTTGTCGAAATCAAATGATGTAAGAAGCTCAAAATGGCATCAGTTTCGGTCGTGTTGTTATAATAAAGACTTCAGATTCTCCGATAAGCACTGGACCGTTGAATGCAGAGGGTCAGTACGATTATTTGATACTGTCACAACCACTAAAATATCCTACAATGGTTCTAGCACGAGACCCCGTCAGATTTGATATCAAGTACAAGGACACGGTATGA